GAATCGGGTTGCTTGACACCGCGGGTGCTTTTGCCGGAGTGATCATCGTTGGGGCTCCACGAGGTCTCGGCTTACGGTCCTGCCGCTTTGCTCTTGCTGCTCGCCACGGCCTCCTCGGGGGTCGTCTTGGGCTGGGCCTTGTCCTTCGGCATCTTCTCCACGATCGGGGTGTTCTTATTATAAGTGCCCGAGATGGTATTTATATGAGCAACTTTGCGAAGAATCGGTGGAATATTTATATGAACAACTTTCGATTAATTATATCTTTTTGGGCGCATCCCTATTTGGGGTCCCCTGCATTTTTCGATATGCCATCTGACTCGGTTATAACCACCCGACTAGGTTATGATCAGCCGATCATATTTATATTCCATCATCTTCAAATAGTTCTAAAGTGCCCGCAGCATTATACCACAAAGTAACGTTCACTTCTATTCCTGAATACTATATTCAAAGTCAGGTTTAGACTGTGCATAGTCAGACGTCAACAGGTACGACGCCGCGGTATTGATTGGCTATATATTCAATCTTCTTCCCATAACAGCTATCACAGGCAGGAATCACCGTAAACACCGTATATTCTGTATTTTTCAGACCAAGTCTTGGGGTAGGCCGTATAGAATCGACACTTCCCTCACGGAGTCATATATCTTATCCCTCCAAAATTTTTCATCCTATCAGGCCAACCCACCCAAGACTAGTACTCAAAGGATCATCTGCTTTGGCATGCAATGCTGAGAACATGTACGTACTGAATGAGCGTATTTATTTTGCAAAGGTGCGTAGGGTTCTAAACAGGTGTTTAGACCAGTGCTTCGTTGCTGCATGTCAACAATTATGAGTGAGTTGAATATATGTATCCGCATGTGCGACAGTCAAAAGAGTCAATGAATGCGAAGATATAAAAAGCTGGCCATGGTTAAGAAATTTATTACTTGTCTTAGCGGATTCAGATCCTGCTTGTGCACATGTTAGTCACAGTCTTCAATCCAAAATACCAAGTATCTGGATCAGTATGAATACGGATATCTGGTGAGGCAGTTGCGGCTGAAGCCGCAACTTCGCTAGGGGAATATTAAATCTCCATAAATCCTTGTGGTCCAGATCCTGGCATAATTTTGCATGGCCTCCATTTCCACAAATATCCGTATCAGAAGCTTTTTCGATTTGATATATAATCCCTTCATATCCCTCTAGTCCTCTATTAAGATTACCTCCATCTCTATTAGAAATCCCTTTGATTTGATATATAATTCCTTCATATCCCTCCGGTCCTGAACTATGATTATAATGGTGGTGATGACTGGAAACCTGAGCTATCTAGTAATATCTCCCACATAAGCAACCCATATATTTATAGATAAATCATATATTTATTAACAAATCTAGCTATTTATAATTGGCGGACAATATAATATTATCATATTTTATATAAGCAGAAACTCCATAAATATCCTTATTTTTCGAGCTTTCTCAATCAATCAAGGTCTCGGCCTAAACCACACAAGTCGGCACATGGGTGTATCCCTCTGCAAAATTTGTAGCAAGGTGAGATTTGTGAGCGTATTGCTTGGAGGGAATAGCGCGCGCTATGTTGGGGCTCTGGTGGGGGGGGGGAAGCCCCCTTCCCCTCCGACATAATTCAATGAATACGAATATATAGAAAACGAGCGCATATCAGACGAGAATTAATCCTCCAATTTCATTGCTCCATTAAATAAAATATATAAAAAAATAATCATATAATAATGAATATATCCGAGAAATAGAGATATAGAGACGCACAGACACTCAGAGACACTCACACACACAATTTCACATGCACGCTCACAGAGATACACAGAGAGGCACCTCAAGAAGCAACGCACCGAAGGATCAAATTACAGGGGAAACGAAACGTACACAGAATCATGCGCGCATACAACACGACCCCATTGTAGTAGAAATATAAATAGAAATCAATAGATAAACAAAGAGAGAGAAAGATATATAGAGAATAAATTTAAAATCAAGAGAGAACTAAAGATGACTCGCTAAACAAACACAAATAGAGATATAAATATCAAGACAAAAAATAGAGAGCCACAGAGTACATTTTCTATTAACCTCATTTTTTATGCAAATTATAATACACAACGAATCATTAGATCAAAATATCTAGACCAAGAAACCATCAATTCAACCAAAATATCTTAAATTCTATACTTCCAATGTTCATATATCAACTCTATCTCACAATCTCAAAAAATCTTCATATAAGTCTATTCGGCCAATCCCTTGCGAACATATTTTGCAGAATTATTTCCCTCATACTTCTCTATATTTACACAATAAGAATCAGAAGAAATCTCTTCTATATGAAACTGCAATAGCAATCTGGAATTCCAATTATAATTCGGAGTCATATTATTCAATATTTCAATATCCATTTAATTCTCACTTAATACTCCTACTGATACCCAATAAATACAATTCTCCATTCAATTCTCTGCTAAAGGGCAGTATCATGCATTCACTTTCATTGCATTAAGGAGGTCTTGCTGTAATTTAGAAAACAATCTCGACCTTCAAAATCTTTGGTTGTAGTGCACAGCATAGTACATTTAGGGTTTATGCCTAGAACTTGTACAGTCACAGTCAAGGTGCATGAACGGTCTTTTGCTCACTGCCTTAGTATTGCAGTTTGATCTGTTTATATAGGTACACACACGTATATGTATATGATTATATACATATTTGACCCATGATTCCAACTTGAGATGAAAGAGAGGAACATTGTAGCGTTACTTATCTTCCAAGCCTGACCAACGACCGAAAGGAGCCTCGTACACATGCATCACGCGAGATAAAGGCCCAACCCATATATCACTTGTCTATTTAACTTTTGAAAGATGACGACTATGATGTTGGTCATCTTTGGTCAATGCCCTTGTCACGGCCGCTCAATGTAGCGCAACTCCAAGTCCTTAAGAACACATCAGGCTGCAAGAGACGGTGTTCCTTCACAGCGAGCTGGGCAACGGAAATTTCCAGGCTCCGAGCTTTTCGACATTGTAGTGCCTCCCGGGAGGGCCAGCCAGTGTCGAAGTTGACAAATGGTGCTCTGAAGTTTTGTGTATGTGTGATGGAGTGCAGACGTAGTCTTCGGAAGTAGGTAAAACCAGCCAGTTTCACACTCAGAAGGTCACGGTCGTCATGGTGGCAGCACGGTATCCCAAAGAAGAATATGTGCAACATGCAGCCATCACGAGTGTATTGATTTCCAATCTATCCGAAAAACTGAGCCTCTTCTTTTGCAGCCATCACAGAGTCCTCGTCGTCGGATCGCCTTGTTTGTGAACGATACTTCTGCGGCTGCTGCTTACAGTCTGCGGCACACCAACTTGTGGGGCCCGAAGTTGTTTTCGCATGGATCTGAGAAGGTCTGAAGTCAGACACTACCTTGTAAAGACAAAACCTTCCTCTTGCAATCGCGGAGATCTCTGGGACGAAGACGGCTTGAAGTAGCCGCCCAGGATGTCGTGGCCACCCACATGTATTCGTGCCTCTGCCAAGGTGGTTGGAGATATCAGACCCGAGTTTTCTTCGTGGGCGGGTGCATACGGCTAGATTCTGTCGACAATGCGTTGCATGTGGGCAAGAAGTTGCGACCCTACACATGAATCTGGACCACGCAGTATGCAAAATCCCAGCTCACGTGAGCAAGGAAGACGTGCACTGTTAACAGCCCAAAGATGAATCGTTTGTTTGTCGAAGAACATTTGGGTTCGAAGTTGCTTGCCTCCCAGCTTCCAACTCCGTGGTGCCATCGGACCTGACATGCACCAAAACCATCGTCTGAAGCAGGGTCTAGGAGTCTAGGGCTTACTACTGCCACTGTTACTATGATTGCGTTGCACTCTGGCTGAGAAAGTATCTGGGCCTACAACACATATTCTGTGTGCGCATCATGGAGGCAAAACATGCTCGTTGGCTTTTTCTTGTCAGGAACACCAAGTTGTTGAGGCGCATTAGCTTGGAATCGCGGCAGAAGAGTTTAGGCAAGAAGGAACTAAGCATGTCATGGCGTTCAAAAAGATGCCGAGAAGCATCGTCGCGGGTTTGAGCTTCAGGTTTTCAGCATGTGACAGTGACAACTTCTTGTCCTACCCTCAGCATGGAGATCGCTGCGCAGGCATGCCTTAGCAACTGTTTTCTTGATTGGCCGACTCTGCTGCGCGATGCAAGTGTTTTGAGAAGCACACTCCGGGATAGTCGGAAGAGAAAGAAGCGATCTCGAGCGCAGCTGGCTCCTGGCATGCAGTACTTCCCATGCGGTGGAAGCCGTCGGCTTCAAGACAAGTACTTCGATGAGCAAGGCTTACAGATGCAAGTCTTTAACAGGGGAAGTCCCAGTTAATCCGCCAGGACTACCATGAACCCACTGTGTCCCAGGAAGTCACAGTTTGCGGGCGAGCGCTATACCCTGCATCTAATGTCACATTCAGTATTCGATGGCATGCAGGTGAATGCCAGGTCCACAACAGCCCCATGCAGGCGAAGCAGAGCAAAACCTGGAAGTCTCCATGAACCCCAGGATCCAACCCTCAAGCCACAAACCCAAGCCCTGAACGGGTCCGAACTCAACCTCCAGGCTCTGCACTCACACTTCTGAAACCCGTCGCAGCTAGAACCTTGCAGTCTCTGGGCCGCAACGAATGGAGGCAGGAGACGTGACGAGACTCTGTCGGGGCAACACACCAACGAAACGGCCGAGAACACAACAATAGACAGGCGTAGTAGAATCCAGGCGATCCCGTACTGGGAGACAGCCTTTCGACAAGTACGAAACCTAAATCCTAAACACCAAGCTGAAGCCAGAAAAATCCAGAAAATGGGGCCTTGCCTTACAGCAAGTAGTGGCTCCATAAGATTTGCTTGCCCCGAGTTTCTCCGATGCTTGGTATGGCAGCACTGCCAGGCAAAAGGTGTTAGGTCAGTCTCCGCCTGGCTTCCTTACTTCAGATCACCTGGCAAAGCTCTGATGAATAGAGCTGCTGATGCGCGACTGCCTGGCGTCGAAGGCAAGTGTAACGGAAAGGTGCCATACATGACCACACACAGAAAGCTGTACAAATGGCAAATGCAAGCTTGGGCGGAAGCTTGTGTGGTTTGCAGATTACTGAAAGCTCGACAGTCTCATGAACATCAATCCTCTTGCAAAACGGAACAAACTTCGATCTATCAAAAGATGTCTGCTCCTGGCCAAAATGCGACAGACCACATTCTCCAGCCTCTTTTATCTGCCCGATGGTGGTGAGGGCTTCCTGTGTCGCATCAAGCGTGCGCTTCTCCACGTGCAGGGCGCAAGCCCATTCTGTCCCTCCCAGCCATTCACCTCAGTTTGAGATGCTAACATTCGTGCTACGGCTGGCACCCTTCGTCTCACTAAATTGACTGAGGTCCTCGGCTTCACGCAGTAAAAAGCCTCCGTTCGCAAGCTGTAGCTGGACAAACTGAAATTCATCTGCGAGGCACGAGCATCGCTTGTGCTCAGCGCATGGTTTTGTGCAACGTATTCAACCTTGACAGCAGCATTTTGGGTTCCATGGCTGGGGTGGGGGTGTCGTGTTTGCCAACATCTTGAAAGGAAAGCTTTTGCAATGTGATTGCATGCTTCGCCACGCAGCCTAGGCCATCACGAAGCCGTGTGTGCCTTTGGGCACTAGAAACTCCGGCGTAATGATGCAGAGCGGCAGTTTTGTCGCCAGCGTTTGCCTTTTGCGGACAAGACTTAGACAAGATTGTTCTCAGGGTGTCCGCCGGTCTGAGGCGTTGGAAATTCAGGGCCTTCTGTTACGTCTCACACCTGAAACTCCATAGCCTAAACCGACCATCTTCGAAGCTGTGTCAGAACTTGGCCTTGAACTCATCGCAGAGCTTCTTTGTTACATCAACCTCAGCAAGCATGTGTGGGTTGTGCCAGAGAGCCTCCCCTTGCGACTAATACGCCAAAAGGAACCCTGATGCCCTCATTCAGAGCAGCACTGCGGAAGCTTATGAACTACTTGTTACTTACGCCGTAAGCTCAACGGAAAAGCCTCCGACGGGGGCCCGAACATGCACAGGCTTAGAGCAACCTCCCGTCTGCTCAGTAAGGTCGCATGGTGCAACAGACAATCAGTTCCCTGCACCCAGCTGCAAATCTAATCAAATCGAACGGAGTTGGTGGTCGCCAGCTTTTGGGTTGAGGATTTCGGAGTTCATCGACCTCACAACTTCGAACACCGCAAGCCAAAGATTTGCAGACGATCCTCCGGTCTATGAAACATGCAGGTTCTTGTTGAGGCCCTGGCCAGATGCTTGATCTCGTCCTGTGAGTCGCCACGTAACGTTTGCCGGGTTGTTTCAAACTGTGGTCCCTTCTGTTTGGGGTCGTTATTGCACTACCTAATAGACGCTGAGAGCAACCTCGAACATCACGCAACGAAACAGGTAGGTAGACAAATCGATAACGAGGACGGGTCCTTGGCAGGATTGAATTTACGTCTTCGCAGCCTGTAGACATGATAGTGGCAAAACCGCAAAATCTCACCACGGTAGTGTTAAGGTGCAGGGTTTGGTACATACAGAGGAAGCTCAGCACCTGGACTCACGTGAACATCACGCAACTCAACCTGGATGCCAGCTGAACCTAACATCCCAGAACGCAAAGCTCTGAAGCTGCTAATGCACACATCAAAGCAAAGAGCCACCTTCTTTGTGGCGATCGCGCGGTCAGAGGCCACGAAGAGGAAGCAGGGCCAAGGGGTTGGGACCTCCGAGACTCAGGGTAGGTGCAAACCAAAACCCTACACCTCACATGGCTTAGTCGAATCCCTGATGCCAGCAGTCTGAAACCCAAAAGCAACATTGCGGGCTTGGCTCGATTTCTGCTTCGGGGACAACCCGGAACCAGGGTACCAGAGTCCAAGTGAGGTCGACATCCATACCTCTTGCCTTCAGGCTTCGATTATTGGTGCCAATCTCATGCAGGAATAAAAGCATTTAGCAGAACTGGACATGCAGGGTTGTGGCGAGCCCTGTGCTTGGAGGGCTTGTCAATTCTGTTGCAGTCCAAAAAATACGGGCTTGAGGCAACTGAGCAGGATTGAAAAAGTGGTGAATTGAGACAACAAGAACAGTAGTCGCGAGGTCGGAGCTAAGATGTTCTATGCAGGCCATTTGCAGATGTGAACCACATCAGCTGCATAAGATGTTCATCTCGCAACCCACACCCACCTCTCCGATGATGTCCCATTCCTAGCTAGGAAGGGGCAGCGTAGGTGTGCGGCGCCACGTGACTTGCATGTTGCACATGTGGTGGCGTATTTTGTGCCGTGTCCGTTGCTCGCTTTCGCTTTACACAGTAGATTGGTATGAAGCAAGAACAGGTCTGCTCTGGTCATGCAGCAACACTTTGCATCAAGCTAGTCGAAGCCAAGGCTCTCCGGCATCCACCAGGTGCTTCGTTGTGAACTTCTCCCAGAGCCAGGCATCGATAAGTTCTTTCCCCATGGCTTCACGCGCGCCGTCGAGAGTTCCGACCTGGCAGCTCCGTTCAAGGTACTGGGTTCTTGATTCCAGACTTAATTTGTAAGTGCTTACTACATTCGCTTGTTCTGGCGTACACCGGGTCTGAAACTGAACCCAGGACAGTCGGATTAGTTCGTCAACCATTCTGATTACAACATGGGTTTGGGTCCGAATCTGGCATGTCGAACGGGCGGCAACATTCTATTGTTCACTGCTTACACTGCAACAGCTCAGCAGTGGCGTCGCAATGGTGTCGTCAAGGAATTAGACGTGAATGTTCCAAAGTCTGTGAAAGCCTGCTGAGCTATGCATCAGCCCGAAACTTCCCTACCTGAACCTTTCGAGGCATTACCCCAAACCCATAACCTTAAGGGCCCGGAGTTCCAAATTTAGACGATTTACCTGCAAGCTTCTCGAGCGCCTTAGCATACGGGAGACTGTTACAGAAAAGGGTGCCCTCTGAAGCTCTGATTGAGATGCTCCTGGAAGAAACGGCTCCGACAGGCAGCAGGGATAGTAAACCCTAACCACGAAGCACTAAATCCTATTACTGTACTTCCATAAACCCTATTTCCCTAAACCCGAGACCCATTAACTAAAACCACGGGACAACGTTGCAAAGCCGAGGTCCCAAGCGGTTTTGAGTGGAGCGTCTGTGGCCGGAGACCAGCCTTTAACAATGCGGGGGGCCTGCAGCTTCCCTCTTGGATTTGAGTTTCCTGACGGGCTAATCGGAAATGTTGGGTTCTTGGACTTGGTTATGCATGTTTTGGGATCCTTGAAAGTGTGGATCCTACTCTGCATGGTCTATATAAGGGTCCGCTGTTCTTTGGAACCACCGTTTAGATACATGATTCGTCAAAGCCGGCCACACAATATGACGATTCCGTCGTTTTCCACGGCAAGCATGCGCGCGTAATGGCCACTTACTCATCGGCTTCTTTTCCAACACTGCCATACCGAAGATTCCCGTGATGCCCTCGTGGAATGATGCGCCTGAGAACAGTAGAATCTGTTGGCGCTGCCGAGGACTTTCACAAGCCCCGCCCTGCTTTCCGTGCGCAATCGCATGTCTTTATCCTATGCTTATTATACCAAGCTCAAATTCCCGTGGCCCCGAACATCGAGGTGTAGGCCCGACTTTGAACCCTAAAACCACAATCCTAAACCCTGAAGCACGTGGAGCATTGCCTAGAAGATCATGACACCCGGAACCCACCCAATTCGCTCTTCACAGAGACCGTTTTCAACAGCCGTAAGGCTCACAGTAGGGTTGGGTGTAGCTAGACATGACACGGAGCCCGAGACAGCCCCAAATTCCCCAAGCCTTGCTGGTGAGCAAAGACGTGTGCCATAAGATGGGAGCCACTGAGCATGCGGGACACTCCGAAGACCTTGCCCTGCAGGAGAGTCGGGCTTGGTTTCATGTTCTAGTCTTTTTTTGAAGTTCTTTTCTCTGCCCGGTTGTTGCTTTGGGCCCGAAAGGCCTTTGAAGATGCAATCGTATGCGAGATCTGGAGAGGCCTTGACCGCCCGCAGCTGCCGAACTGCATCCTGAACCCAAAATCCCTCAACCATGAGAAACTTGAAAATAAACACGAACATGTGTGGCGGGTGCCCGGGGTGATGCGTGCTATGCGTGCGACACTAGCCTTCTAGGCACTGTTACCAAACCACGAGCAGGGGCTCTTCTGATTTGCAACCCGGCCGGCGACTTGGTAGATCTTGTCGTTCGCGCTGTCAGTCGGCATGCTCTGGCTGCTACTCTGAAGGCCGTCTGACTTTATGAGGGGTGCAGATGTGCTGGTCCTTCTTGGCCGGGAACGACTTTGAAATTGTATGCGGTTGGAAAGACACATTTTCTGCAATTGCTCACGGTAACAAGTGCTGTTTGCAGAAGCCCTCCCACGGCCTTTCCTGACAAATGCATCGATCAAGTGTGTGCGGGAATCGGTGGATCGTCCATCGGCTGCTTGGCCTGAGGGGGGACACCTGCCCCGGCGTCTGGATAACAACCTCCTCGCCTGTGCGGCTCTGCGATTGCACTTTGATACAACGTTGGAAAACGATTTTACTGATCGCCAGGAGCGCATGCAGCTGCACCGGATGCAGCCACAGGACAACAGCCTGATCAGGTTTGCCTTGGTTTGGGTCTTCTCTTAGTTTCTGGTTCAAGGTGTACTTTGATCGGTTCCGGGGTTGTCGTTCTGCAAACTCGTGCTGCGGCTTTCTTGGCATTCGCATGCCTGCGGAGTGGTTCTGGAAAGCACCTCGGATCCGCAGCTGAACCTCGCTGCTGAGCAATTGCTGAGTGAATTTGCTGCAAAGACCGGCTTCTGTTGGAATCAGGTGGAACTGGATCCCCTGTGTGCTGCCGACCAATCAGCAGCCAGTTGAATGGGTCAAGCGTCGGCTTTTCAATGAAAAGCCATTATCTCAGCAACAGACCCCAACAGCGATGGAAAAACATACCGTTTGGTTCAATTTGGCGCTATGGTCTGTGTAAGAAAAACTTTCAGTCTACATCCTAACACCTAAACCCTAAACCCTAAACTCTAAACCCTGAACCCGGACCACTGTCAAAGCCCTTCGCTGGAGCACCAGTTGAGGACTGCTTTGGAGGCCAAGTTTGGCCAGCTTATG